GCACGCGGACCCGGGTGATTCCAGACACCAGGGGGGTCCTACAGGGGTCTGTGACCTTCTTCGATGATCGCAAGGGATGCAGGTTGGGAAGGAGAGGGCTGGGAAAGTGGCCTCGAGGCTGCAACATGACATGCTACTTCCTACGCCTAGTGGCTGGCCTAAGGTGGCACCGCCTTACCATGGACATGAAAAAAACGGGTTCGCATGTGCCTATCTTAAGCTCACTCGCCTTTGTTGATTAATCCTAATGGGGCTGGGGCTGGGCTGCTACTGCTAGGCAAGGTTAAGTAGGGAAGCCCCCAAACGTGTCGGCCGACGACGGCTGCCGGCAGCAGCCAGCGAAGACGAAGGCGAAGCGGCCGCAAACCCCAAATGATCAGAATCAGTAATAAGGTCTTATGGACGAGTGAGCAATCAAAGGGTGCCACCGTAATTAATCCAGCCCCTACTAATGTCTTCCCCATAATCCCCATGGACTAAATCACTAGGGGGATTACCTCGAGCAGGCATGGGAGTTTAAGGTTGGGTTTAGGTTGGGCCTACGCCATGCACGAGACATGTCCATGCCAGCCCGGTCCTGGGCGTTGGTTCACTCCCCTTGCAGGAGATCAGGAGCCCGCAGGCAGTGCAGCGCATGACGCCAACCTGAGGGTTGTCCCCGCCAGCGCAGTGGCAGTGGTTCCCAACAGTCGAAACATCGGGGAACATGCCGCTTTCCATGTCTTGGAGGCTCCGTGGTTCCTCGCTCACCATGGTTGCCTGCCGCTTCTCGGCTTGGCTCTGTTGCCCTGGGCTAGAAGCTTGGACCGAGCATGCTCCGGTGCTCATGGACCCACTAGCGTCTGAGCAGGTATACGCTCAGGTAAAGAGGGTCACCATGGAGGTAGGCGCTATCTTGTTGTCGGCGGAATGGCTGTCCAAGTCCTTTCGGATGGTGCGATGCACCTGCGACTGGCTGTCCACCACTTGGAACTCCTCGACGTGCCCGGACTCGGCCGCCAAGTGAAAAGGCGTTGTGTGGTCCAGTGGTTGGCCGCCAACAGCTGACGCCTATAACCCTGAACAATGGAGCCACCCGCCGGAAGCCGAAGTGTTCCCAAGTCAAGCAACCTCCCCTGGGCAACCCTCCCCACTAGAACTAAGGAGGACATCCCGCAGTGGTAGTTGTTGTGTCAAAAAATTGCTTTGTTTTTGCATTCTTTGCATGCAAGTCCTCCTGCCTATTTCACCAGAAGCTTGGAACCTGGCTCCGAAACCCGTCCAAATCCTGCTTAGGGTTTAAAACTTTAGGGCAGCGGTTCAGGATTGAGTGATTTCTCTTTGCGGTGGCATAGGTACAATAGTTAACGGGTTTGAAAGGGCAAACACACAACAACATAACGGGGTTTCTAATATGACACTGAGAATGACAATGGTGATTGGGTCAAGGCTTTGTGTGTGCGAGCATGCGTCCCCTGGCTGCCTGCACATGTTTAGGGCCCCATTGACCATGGGCATGGTCGGGGTTTAATGTTGTCTGTATGTGCGCAGAAAACCAATCCCACTCCGAAGAACCTGAAACCTCCGCACTGAACCGGAAGGACTCAACCCACCTAAAACTGAGAACTCTGAAGGCCCTAAAGGAACCCCTCAAGAACCTATGCCAACAAATGAGCATAACCGTCTTACTCAAGCATTGATCCGGTCCTAGACCTCCCTTACCAACATCCAAACTCCAGAACCTGAATTAAATCACGACAGGAACCAGTGACAGGAACCCTGATACCCTAACCGTAAACAGGAACCCAAAACCCAAAAACGACCCAGAGCCCCAGAAATTAGTGCAAGTAGTTAACGGGTTTAGGGTTGAGGGTTGAAAAGCTTAGGGTGTTCAGGGTTCCAAGGAAGAAAAGCCCTCCAAACTTGGGGTTTAAAGGGTCTACGGGCTTTAGGGTTGAGGCTTCAGGGTTTTTAGGCTTCAAGGAAGAGCCTCTGGTGACAAATCCCCGGCCTCGCCACGGCAGCCCAATCCTCCGCCCAAAATCAGCTGTTCCGGCCTGAGAGTGACGACGGGGTCTGTGCGGGGGTCTGACGATGTCCGTCATGGGGCCCAGTACGCCGAACCAAATCAATACGTACAACAACAGAAACCCCAAGCCCCAACCAATGCCACGGGTTCACGAACACTGGTACATCACTTCTGTAGCTGCCAGATACGAGTCAGACTTTCTTCGCTCAGGTTCGAGAAGGGCTAGCGGGGACCTGCCATCCTAGGGTTCAAGAAGGTTTAGGGTTTGTGTTCTAATTTAGGATTTAAGATTTTGTGGCTATTATAATTCAGTCGCTTGTTAGTGCTGCTCTGGTTTCTTGGCCAGGGACTACTACTACTACTTACTACTACTACTACTACTACTACTACTACTACTACTACTACTACTACTACTACTACTACTACTACTACTACTACTACTACTACTACTACTACTACTACTACTACTACTACTACTACTACTACTACTACTACTACTTATACTACTACTTATACTACTACTTGTACTACTACCTATACTACTACTACTACTACTACTACTACTACTACTACTACTACTACTACTACTACTACTACTACTACTACTACCAGTACCACTACCACTACCACTACTACTACTACTACTACTACTACTACTACTACTACTACTACTACTACTACTACTACTACTACTACTACTAAGTACTACTAAGGAGCAGGTAAGTGAGCTACACAAGTGGACGCGAGAAGCCCGAGGCGGCTGCATCGCCAGAGTTGTTGGAGGAAAGCAGGGGTTATACGGAGCACTCGGCAACGATCACGAGAGGGATGCACATCCGCCAATTCATGGTTTAGCAAGAATTCCGGGGGTCTGCCATTCCAGGAGAGACCCCATCCATGACAAAGACCCACAAGAAAAGCCCAGAAGCCCTGCAAGCAGATGACTCCAAAAGTAATCAGAAGAACGCCAGATATTTAAATTTATGCGCCCAACTGCTCGTACCCTCTTTGGTGTTTGTCTCGCTCACAGAAATAAGCTGTTTGCTCGGAGTTGTCCCATGCCGGCCTTGAGAAGGTCTAATCCAGCTGATCCAGGTGAATACGCATCGAGTGGCAATACCATTGATCCAGCATGCTATAAGCAAACTGCGGGAATATGAGGGAGATACGCTCAAGCATCTCAATCCGCTCATGGCCCTGAAAATGTTTCCACATATCCCAGAAGTTGCAGAAGGCTGATTCACGTCCCATTTCACGTTCATACAAAAACAGCAGGTCCATGATACTTGCTTGTGGTATCCGCAAAGCGCGCCATCTCCGCATCTGAATCTCCAGGGTAACATCAATAACCAATCTATGCAAAGCATCACCACCATGCAGTACTCTGGATATCTTGTTGCTTCCATGCAGTGGACACAGTTTCATGGCAGCAGCGCTCAGCGCAAATCAGACTACGAAGACGAGAAAGCCTTTAATCCCAGGGGTCCCAGCAGAGCCGAGACGCTTACTCCAAGACGAAGGCGAAGGCGACTCCACACGGCCGACCAGTTCTCGGAACCTCAATTAAAGTCAAATGCTCAAGACTTAGATGAAGTGACCTCGATAATAATACGCCATGCCATCCTGCCTAAACTTCTGAACCTACTGAGTTCCAGGATTCGGGCGACAGTCATAGTTGAACGAGATAAAAAGTTACACTGCAAGTCATCTTAGAATCTGGACATCGGATCCCAGGACTCAAACCCGTGTAGAGGACCAGATCAGTAAAGCATTTACCTTAGCATCAGCCACCTAAGTCCTAACCCATGTTCCAAGGATCGGAGTATATATTGGAGTCAAATCCATGTGACATGTGGCAAAAAGTCACTTGAGGCCGGCGACACGACAAGCAAAGCAACACTTATAGTGCCAAACCTCTCGTGCATCAACCAACTCATTCAGCAATGTGCAAACAGCTGAGGGGAACTCTTCCCAGAGGCATCATGAGAGCGGACGAAGTCGAAGTCGAAGACGAAGTCTTGGACCTGGCATCTCGAAATGAACCACAATCAGGCCCTACACCAATTCTGAGCAACTGCTGCTAAGGCAGCTGCCTCCAAGCCATTCGAGCAGCTCTGGCATGGAGCCTGTCCATATCTCACCAATTACCGTGTTCATTCAGCAAACAGTAGAGGCACCTCCTTCGCAGACGAAGTCGAGATTGTGGACCTGACCATCATCTAATTTCCGACCAGGCCGATAAAAAGCTGCGAAACTAGCTCAGGCGCTGTCTCCATGACGAAGATGGCATAAACGACCTCACTGAGCGGGATTTCATTAATCGGAAGCTGGTAGAATCTAGGCTGTTGGCCTTGTCCAAATCAAAGTCGAAGGATGTGACCTGGCCGTGCCAGGCATTGGAATCGACACGAATGCTGCTGCCTTTCACCTACCTCGAAGCTGACCGAAGCCGAAATCCAGGACCTGGCAACCAAGCGGGAAACACACTCGAAATCAAGAGCCACGCATTTGCCTCCCAAACCATCAGGGTCATGACGTCGTCCACCATGATAGACCTGGCATCTGGAAGCACAAAGATGAAGAATGTCATGTGCTTGGGGTGGAATCAGGGCCCGAAAGCTCTCCTGATAAATGTGTTGCTGGGGCCCACACTGGAGCTCACCCAGCAGAGTTTAACCAGGGCCCAATCGAGCACACCTGGTTGCTGGGGCCCACACTGGAGCTCACCCAGCAGAGTTTAACCAGGGCCCAATCGAGCACACCTGGTTGCTGGGGCCCACACTGGAGCTCACCCAGCAGAGTGAAACCAGGGCCCAATCGAGCACACCTGGTTGCTGGGGCCCACGGAGTCACCCAGCAGGGTTACCAGGGCCCAAATGAGCACACCTGGTTGCTAGGGCCCATGACGGAGCTCGCCCAGCAGAGTGAAACCAGGGCCCGAGTGAGCACGCCTGGTTACTGGGGCCCATGACGGAGCTCGCCCAGCAGAGTTTTACCAGGGCCCGAGTGGGCACGCCAGGTTACTGGGGCCCACGATGGAGCTCGCCCAGCAAAGTTTGACCAGGGCCCGATTGGGCACGCCTGGTGGTCACTGGGGCCCACGATGGAGCTCGCCCAGCGATACTGGGGCCCAAAGGGGCTCACCCAGTGATTGGGGCCCGAAAGAACAGAGCTCGCCCAATCAGCACCCCCAAACCCAACCTGTCAAACCCCGAAACCCCCGGGGTTTGCCCCCGGCCTCCTCTCCACGTGGTGTCCGCGGTCTACGATGGGGTTTCGGGCTTTAATAAGGGTTCAGGGTTTAGGGGTTTTGGCTTTCGGGGGACGACTTAATGGGTTCGATATTAGGACTTATCATTATTATCAGGTGGATTTTGAGATTTGTGGGTTTCGCCTTCGTTATTTATGTTTGTGTTTTATAATATGAGTCGAGGTCCTTTTTATTGGGGGATTTTCAGGTTCGTGGGTTTCGCCTGAGTTAATCCCACCACTTAGGAAGTTCATGGTTTAGGGATGGTTAGGGGTTTAGGGTTTCTTGATTTTTGATTGTTGTTGCTGATTAGTGATTAGTTGGGTCATTGGGGGTTCGGCGGGACCCTGAACACCCCCAAGCCACACTCCCAACTTACACCCGAAATCCCTACAGTACACTTAAACCTTGATCCCCTCAACTCCAAATGCATACCAGAAGTTTTGAACCCCAACAACCCTTAAGGAACCTTGACCTATGAATATTGCACCACCCAACCCCTAAGTTCAGGAACCCCCAAATCCATATAGGTTCACGACCACACCCTTCTGAACCCTCAACCCTGGTCCCCTACCCCGGACCCCTAAACCATGACCATAACTGCCAACCCTGAATTTCTGAATCCCAAAATCCCAAAACACTTGAATCCTATGGCCGTGGACCAAGAGCAACTGTCAGACTGTTTAATTAATAAGATGCTGGAAAACCAGTTCCCGAAACCCCACCAAAACCCTGAAATTAAAATTGAAGCTCACTCACGCCCCGCCTGAAGACCATGAAGATGTAGCACACGACGAAGTCGAAGGCGATACAAGCCAGACCCGCAACCGCGCTTTAGAAATAATCGCGATTATCTAAATACCGAAATCAATAGCAGTGACAAAAGCTTCAAGTTTCATGATGCCAATGCGAATACGAAGGCGAAGTCGAATACCGCTACTACCACTGCTACTGAAGTTGTGAGATTTCAAACGATACAAACTCTTATGAGCAATGCCACTCAAAGCTAAGCTAAAAACTGCACTTGTACCAAAATATCAGAATGATCATAATCAGAAGGGTAATATTTGTCATCATGACGATACTCATCATCACCATCATAAACACCATAATGCAAAACAAATAGTCGAATAATACGATAAAATACAGCATTACCTAATATCATCTGGCATATTCCAATAGTTATAGCATATCAGACATGTATCACAAAATGTCCTAATATGCCATGTAATATTCACTCACTGTTGTATAAACATGGAATATGAATATGTACACCATATATATTATTACAGAACAGCACTGATGTAATATATAAAATCAATATGCAGACCAATTGTTATTATTACTGTAACATGATATAGTATTAAATGGTGAGGCACAGTAAAATATTATAGGATTTCAGACAGTATGATCTGACATAAGATTGTAATATTATGCTATAATTAAGATAGACAAATGTTAATTTTAGCAAAATGCTATACCATATAAACCATAACATCATCCATATGTTATATATATACATATACACATGTATATATATACACATGTATATATATATATATATATATATGCCTATTGACTAATAAAAAAAGACTACTACCAGTAACAATCCTATCAGTATGACATAATCATAATCATAATAATGATGCTAAGGTTAATAATAAATAATATTATTAATAGAAGTAATACTAATAATATTAAGTTCAGAATACCTTAATAATGCTAGTAATACTGATATTGAAATAATAATACTAATAATACCTTAGAACACTAATATTACCAATAATACTAATAATACCAATAATACTAAGATACTAAAAACAATAATACTACTAAGAATACCAATATTACTGATAATACAACAATAATACCAATAATACTAATACTACTAATAATAATAATAATAGTAATAATAATAATAGTAATAATAATAATAGTAATAATAATAATAATAATAGTAATAATAATAAAAATAATAATAGTAATAATAATAAAAATAATAATAGTAATAATAATAATAATAGTAATAGTAATAATAATAATAACAAAAATAATAATAATAATAATAGTAATAATAATAATAATAGTAATAATAATAATAATAGTAATAATAACAATAATAATATAATAATACTAATAATAATAATATTAATATTTATTAATGCTGGGGGGGGGTTTGGGGGGGGGGTTCGGCGAAGGGCGCCGGGGTTCGACGAAGTTCGTGCGGGGGTCGTCCCTTCCCCCGCTTCGGCTTACCCCTCTCCGTTTTGCCCTGAAAGAAAGCACCGTTTCCTACACTCTAAATCCTCGGGTGCCTCCGGATCCTTGTGCTGCATCCTCTTGCCACCCTGGCTTCGATCATGAGGCTCCAGGTTTGGGCTGTAACTTTCATAAGGGCGCTTGAGGGTGTATGATTTCAGAGGCTAACTTAGGGCTTTGGGGTTTAGGAGTGAAAGAAGTTCCTGCGGTTTTCTTTTGGAGGGGTTGGACGTGTGCTGCTGGTCGGCTAGCCTTAAACTCTACACACGAACGACCGGTTCGGTGCGGGGTGAGGGTTGTAGGGTGCTAGGGTTAAGGATTACAGGCTTAGAAGGACCGTAGCGTTTCAAGATTTCGGGATCCGCGTTTCGGGCCGTTTCAGGTGTACGCGACAAAGACCATGCTAGGCCACAAAGACTCCGGGAAAAAGCAACTTGGCACCACACAAATTCTTGCAAGGCTCGACGAAATCCGCAAAGACAATCCCTTAAAGCCCTAGACCCCAGCACTCCAACGCCGTAGCCCTGCAACCACGACCGTCAAACCCTTAGAAACCCGACAGCCTGCATCCGTCCCCTAAGACCTTTAACCCCAACAGCCACCAATGAAAGCAACACCTTTCTCAAACACAAGACTGCGCAAGCCACCAACAAAGAAAGCCCTCAAACGCCAAAAATGTGAAGTGCCATAACCTCTACTGTAGGGGGCCGGAATAATTACGACTACTATTTTGGGGTTCCTTAAACTAATGGGTCCCAAAACCCTAGCCTAACCACTACATAAACCCCCAAAGTAGGTGGAATAATGGCCCAAAACCAATAAAAGGCTATTCTTCCACATACTTTGGGGTTCAGATAAGGCCCCTATCTAGGTGGGGCTTCTAAAGCCTTTGAAAAATAAGCCCGGCTCACGTTCTTGAGCATCGCGGCCATAGCGGCCTTCTTGGCCTGGGCCAGGGACTCTGGTGCGCACTATCGGGGCCTTAGTAATTATTAGATTTAAAGGGTCCTTTAAGGGTTCCTTTAAAGGGTGTCTATAAGGGTACTGTAATATAGGGGCCTGAATCGATTAGACTGGGCGTTTTGGAGGCCCATACTTATGATAAGGAAGCCTCAAAATAGTAATAGTAAATATGTAGTATGTCAAAGGCTTTCAGCTCCATTGGGTCCAAAGGACCAAGGCAATGCTGAGGGCTCTTTCGGAAGCCTAGGCCCTAAACCCGAAACCCGAAAGCCTGAACCTTTCAACCCCAAACCCTGAACCCGGCACCCTAAAGCCCGAAAGTCACAGAGGTACGAGGGCTCCAGGTTTTCCAAAGAAAAGGGCGGTGGTCTTCTCGCCTTGCTGCGGGGTCGTTCGATGGGCTTTGGGGGTCAGGCCTTCCGAACGAGCTTTGGATTTATGTAGGGTCCCGTGAGATCGAGTTTCACTGACCTCTTCTGTTTGTGGTCCCAACTATCACGGCCCGTCATTCTCACAATTCCCGATGCAGCCGCGATCTCACACTACTGGCCTCGACAGTTTAGCTCGAGCTTAAGACGAAGACTCAACCCGAGTTCTGCAACCGAAATCTGAGCACCCTAGCCTAAACCCTAGACTTGAAACACTCCCGTCTCGTAGCCTCCGTGTCCGCGTTGAAGGTAGCTGCGCCTTGGTTTGGATTCACCTGGCAGGCGTTTGGATTCAGCTACCTTGACGGGGGCAGTTCGACAAAAAATTAGGGACCCGATTTGGGTCCCTAATTCAGAGAACTACCCACGTCGGGATCACATTGCAGGTCCCTAAGCCCTACATCGTCAATCCTGTCAGCCCCTAAGCCCACAGAACTCCCATATATATATATATATATATATATATAGAGATATAGAGATATAGAGATATAGATATATAGATATAGAGACACACATACCCTATGAACCCTGAAGCTACGCTTTTAGCCCTGGCCGAAGCCTCTCCTAAATCCTGCAATCTCTCCTCTAGACTCTGGACTGGCATGAAGCACTAAACTCTCAACAACCAACGTGTGAGGCCCAAACCCTATAGACCCTAAACCCAAAGCCTTAGAACCTGAACCTTTTTGGATGTACTCACAGGATCATGGGACTTAGTAAAGTAACTAGGGTTATAAAGCAGGTAAATATACCTAGAAGTATTTATAACTTATAACTCCAATTAAGGTACTTGTAACCTAACTTACTAAATCCCCTGATCCTCCAAGTAAAGATTCGGCTGGGAAGTGCTAGGGTTCAAGGGCTGGCGGAACATGCAAGGCCGAGGTCTTGATGGCTTGGAGCTGGCAGTTTAGGGCCCCCAAACTTAAACACAAAATCCCAAATCCTAAACCCGGAACCATCATAACCCTAAGCCCCAAAACAAAACAAACCTGAACCCTAATAGACCTATTTCCGACCCCCAAACCCAAGCGCTTTGGGGTGAAGACTCGAAGACCCCTAGTTCGGGCTTATGGCTCATGGCATGGGGCTTTTTAGGGTGATGGGCTTACCCCAAGGGTCCTAGGTACTGTTGTGGGGGATACTTCCCCAACTTGTAATAGTAGTTCCTAATATGGAAACCCTACATTCTACTATATGGATACTTTGTACCCTTTGGGTTAGGGTAAGAAGATCCTGAAGCCAGAACTACCAAGGAGCTGATAAACGAACCAAACTACGAAGCACATACTGTGAAGCTCGTCAGCCACGCCTTGCCAGCCAGCTTGTCGACCTCAGCAACTCGTCTTCTCTCTGGGGTTGTCCACCAAAGCCCAAAATCGCAGAACCTCTCCCCTCAAAAACAACAAACTCAAAACCCTCAACTGAACAATATGAAGCCCGAATATGAAACCCCCAAACCCTCAACACTGCAATATGAAGCAATGCATGCCTCAGGTTTCGGAAGCCTTGGGCATTCCACCGGTTCCGTGTTGGCGTCTTGAGTCTTTTTGACGACTTTTTGGGGCCGTACAGGCTCTGGAGTTCAGTCAGTTTAGAAAGATTGCTGAAAAGGTCTATAATGAGACATTGGATTCAGGAGATTTTTTACGGTTTAGGCTTATGGCAGTGAGACCTGGGATGTTATTAATGAAACGACAATACGGAGGGTTTAGGGTTTAGGGTCCCCATTCAAGAATCCAATCTGGCAAGCGCAGTCCACACGGATATGAGAGCGCGCTGCTCCAAATTCTGATCCATCCCTTTTTCTGGGGCGCCTACCTAAACAGTAGGACCCTAACCCTAGCCTTGAATCCTCTGGTCTGATGCTATGCCGCCCAGCAGCGCATTGATTAGGTTGAGACCGAGGGTTCTCTTTCTTTCTGGACTCTTAAACCCTTGGCTGTACTAGTTTGAGGGTTTAGGTGTGTCGGGCCTGCGTAGGGTTTAGGGTCTATGTACCGGTTGCTAGCTTGACGCTGCTAGAAGAAGTGAGTGGCTAGCAGAAGCAACCCTACCCCTAAAGTTCGAAGGGCCTGTACATGAAAATTGAGCCGCCGCATGGCTCCCAGCCTGATTTAGTAGACGTCACGCCCCTCGACACCTAGAGGCGGGTAGATGATCCCCACATTGAAAAGCTTTTGAGGTCTAGACTGTAGGGTTTAGGGGGTTTTGGGTTGCTGTGCTTAATATGGGGCCTTATAAATAATTGAAATAGAAATTGTGTGTAATTATAGTATACTGTAATTATAATAAGGAGCCCGGACTATAAGGGTTACTATAAGGGATCTAGAAGGGTACTGTAATATAGGGGCCTTCTTTTTTGTCTCGGGTTTTGCGGCCTGTTATACTGAAGTTAGAATAAGGCACCCCCCAAAATAGTGTAGGTAACTATTTCGGCCCCTATATTACAGTGTAAACCCCGACGATCGGGCAGGGGAGGTTCGGAAGCAGGGTTTGCGGTAACCAGACGCCGAATCAAGAAACGACCCTCTTGAGGGTTCCCGAAAGAAGTACTTATGACCGAAGAAGACTCTACGGTAAATAATCCTACAAAACCCACAAACCCAATCAAGCTGTACGAATTAGTGGAATCTTCATGTGAAGCTTAAAGGAGCCCCTTTAAGACCACATGGACCTAGCACCTGGCCTTCTGACCCCATGGGGGAATTTAAACCCCAAGCTCTACAGGCCTGCAGCATCATCTTCTTGACGTTCGGATCGTTCGGATCCGCCGGCGTGTTTTCTTCCTCCGCATGCTGGTCGTGATGCGCCTGACGGCAGGCTTGCGGTACAATCGATCGTGAAAGCTGACCCCTGATTCCACATCACCCACTCGCATGATCCTAGCCGCTTGAAGGGCCCCGAAAACTTCAATGGTGAACCATGAGATCTAAACCCTGCATGGTGCCATTAGGTACCCTATGCTACCCTAAATAGCCACCATTGCGTACCATAAGGGTTGGTTACATATACCCTGCCGGGGCGGGGGTCCTAAAAACGCATCAACCCCTAAACCTTTAACCATTGAAGCCCCAAACCATAAGCCCCTAAAGCTCTGAATCCCTAAACCCTGAAGTCCTAAACACTAAACCGTAAACTCTGCCCTGAATCCCTGAAGCCCTCAACTGCAAACGGTGGAAACCCCTAAAGCCCTGAAAACAACTAAAGCCCCTTAAAGGATCCCTCAAAGGAGCCCTTATACGATCCCTGAAAGGATCCCCCCTTCAAGGAGCCCTTATAAGATCCTTTAAACTTTAAAGGATGGTTTAAAGGAGCCATTATAAGATCCCTGGAAGGCCCCCCAAACTGGCCTTCAGTGCCTTGGCTTCTTGGTTGTCCACCTGCACGGCCTGTGCCAAAGCTCTGCGAAGTCACGATACCGTGAGCCAAGACACCCTAAGCCTTTGAGAGTTTTAGGGTTTAGGGCTATGCAGTCAAAACAACCTAACCATAAAGGTCCAAGTAGTCCTCATTTTGCTTCTTGGTACCTCAAAAAGCCCTAAAGTCGTATAAGAAGGAGTACGTGGACACTCTCTGTAATATTCAAGGTTTTAATCAATAAACCGTAGTGTTGTGTGTTTCGACCTTAAGTGTCTTGTAGCCATGCAAAAGAGCCGTAATGGCATAGGGTTTAGGGTTTGGCCTCAAACGGTTTAGAGGTTTAGGGTTTGGGATTTAGGGTTCAACACTGCCTTCTTAGGAAATGCCCTCTAAAGTCAGGAGTTCTACGTGGATGCTGCAATGTGGGGGTTGTGTTCTCGAAAGTTTACTATGATCGACTCCCATTCTTACCCTAAGGGTGCAAAGGACCCACTAATTAGGTACTCGGGCTAAGATAGCCTTAAGCCTGAAGAACCTACATTTTCAGGGTTCCATAAAATGATTTTTTTATATAAGTCCAGAAAAAGGTAGGTTATTCAGGGTTAAGGAGCAGATATGTAGGTTAGTATTTGGGAGAGTAGTTCGTTGTTGGGTACTTGGACCCTTAGAGTTAGACTGGACTGAAAGGCCTTCCTGCGGCTGAAGTGGCCCCAAAGCCAGAACGAGGCCAAACACATGTTCCTGGAGCCTACGACCAGTCTTCGCATCTCCTCTGGCGAAAGAACAATTCCTGCCTTTCAGATCCTTCAAGACGAGGCAGACCCCAAGCAGATGACAATTGGACAGGCGTTGCAGAGAAAGCTACCTAAACCCCGAACCCACAGGCAAGTACATTGTCTCAAACCTTACACCTTCGGCTACTACGGCTGAAATGTGTCCTTGGCCTGTTCCAACAATCAACACACACAAAGACACACCCAATAAAAATCTAAAGGCAAATACGATCTTACCATCACCGTCATTACCTTTAATGTATAACACCTGGTTACTATTCATTCACTTACTATCATATGATTCAGAACCACTATGAAGTCAAGGCTGCTGGTGCGGGCCTGGCCGCCTCTGTTGTCCTGGTCACGCAGGAGCGTGTTCAGGGCTCGGGTTGGCCGCGGACGAGCTCAAGCTGTTCTTTGGTTGTGGGTGGTGAAGAGACGCCAAACTGTGTATTACATCATGCCTAGGGCGGCCGGGTAGCCCCCCCGATACAGAATTCGGAACTACAATTTACAACGATTGTGGGGCCGGCATCCCGAATCGAGCACCCCTCCTGCTTCTTATCTCGCTGCGAAGCCTGTTTGTTTCCTCCATCCCCAAACGGCCTTCTAGCAGCATCCATACTTTGGAGGCTTGGTGCCGTGGTTCCCGATCTGAACTCTCAGCACAGAACTCCGAAACCACGAAACCGCCGTCGATGGACGATAGTCTGCATCATCTTTAGGATTTAAAGCTCTGGATCCTTGTTGATGAATATGCCGCGACGTTTGAGGAGGTGAGGGGAAGGGATACCACATGATGCAACAAAAGCGACATACGAACCACAACTCACATGGGTGGTTGTCAAAATTAGCGTCCCTTTTGGGGTACCCTGAATACTAGGTGCCGTAATATAATAACGACCCAAGAAGGGACCCTAATATTGACAACCAGCCACATTGGGAAGGCTGGTCATCAGCCGCTGCTTTCAGAGGCTCACTTCTTCAAACACCCATCCCCAAAGGGTCCTACGTACTGTTGTGGGGGATACTTCCCCAAGTCATAAGAGTAATTCCTGACAAAGAAAAACCTACATTCTACTATAAAGGTGCTTCGGACCCTTTGAAACCCTATATGCTAAACCTCACCCCTAAACAGGCAACCCCCAAACCTTACATAAACCAACATAATTTGTGGCAAGCAGGGTGTCAAACACTGAGCTCAGCGTGTGATGCTCTTTTCTGTATATACATGCACCCCGCCATCCCGACCAATGAGGTCAAGATCTTTGTCGTTCAACGTTCTCTGGTTGATCGATCCGAGTCGCCTCAAGCCATCGGCGAACGCCCTAACCTAAGAGTAGCCGCCCTAAACCTTAAACCCAAAACCTTAAACCCTAAACCATATACAACCCTAAATCCTAAACCTTAAACCGTTGACACCCACGTCGCCCGGCCCCATGGACATATTCGCCCGAGGCGGCGGTCCCCCCAAGGGTCCATATCATGTACGCATATACTATATACTTTGGTCTTAAAGTATAGTCCCTATACAGGTACATTGGGGCCAAAGCATATATTATTTAACATGGACCGTACGGGCTCATTAGGGTTCCATCACCGTGCCTGCATGGCAATCAGTGGCGATCGCAACCGACTGACTCGGGTTCGCGGCAAGAGCTCGTGCCTAAAAACCCTGTATCTGAGTTCAACTCCTTGGCCTGCCTGGCAACTGTATATCTGAACTTAAAGCCTAAACCATAAATTTCATGGCATAAAGCCATAAAGAAGCCCAAACCAGCTGAAGAAAACGCAAACAAATGCAAGAACATATTCGAACCCCAAACCCCAATAGCACAGGAAAGCGGAAATCTGCACATATTATAGGGGCCGTCATCCCCCCCTTTTTTCTATAGCTATACTAAGGAACCTCCCAAAATAGCATAGGTAATTACTAAGGCCCCTATATCAAGACAAGCCTCAGTACATCTCGAATAATCTTCCATTTAGCACCTGTAAACCTGAAGCAACTATTCAGGCTGTCATATGGGTGGTTGTCAAAACTAGGGTCCCTTTTGGGGCACCCTAAATATTAGGTGCCGTACTATATTAGGCGCCCAAAAAGGGACCCTAATTTTGCCAACCACCAATATTGCACCGCGGAACTCAACCCTAAACCCGTAACCGTAGCCCCTGATCCCTAAGACTTGAACCCTAAACCCGAACCCGAAACCCTAAAACCCGGAACTCCCTTCGCGGATCCTGCTGGTGGAGCAGGTCGAAGAGGTCGAAGAGTCCCTAGGGGGGGGCCAGGGATTAGGAGCCAGTTTGTTTTCAGGGCTTTTAGGTTTTTCTTTGTTTTTTGAGCTCCTTTTTGGGCTTTTAGGGTTTACTTAGGGTTTAGGAATTCTGATCAACTCCCCTGTTCTGTCCAGCCATGGGGTTTACGATGTGGAGTTTGTGGTTTCGGATTCTGTCTTTCGGGTTTCAACTCCACCCCTACTCACACACTGACAAGTGTTTGCGGCTAGGATTTAGGAGTCTGCAGAATAAGACCTTTAGGCAGTGCCTTTCTGATTAGAAAACAGCAAGTAACAGAGTGTTCAAACTTATATGTGGCCTTCCGGACCATTTGACGACCTCGTTCGGTTCAGAGTGCAAAACTGGAGCCTTCAGAACCTCAAGCCAACTTCGGTGTATAATGAACTACCACTACACGGCGCTCTATGGAATACTATATCGAAATGTTCAGACCTCTGTTCCAAGGCCGAATGCATTTTTCAAGCGTTCCCACGGCTAAGGGTTGTGGAAGAAACGGCTCAACGTGCTCATATGACTTCGAGGTTCAGTGAATGACAGAGTTCAACCAGCAGAGGGCCCATATTGCCAAAGGGTTTGGAAAGTCTCTGCTCGGACTTTGACTTAAGAACTTCAAAGGACCTCTAATATATAACCCTACACCCAATGCCCGTCCGCCCCTCTTCTTAACCCTATAAAACTAAACCCGGGGCATATTGGACTTTGAAAACCAAACCCAAACATCCTACACGCCAAGCCCCTCTTTCATAATCCTAAACCTTACTTGGAGGGTCGGGGGACTTGGTAACTACGTAGGAAGTAGACTTATAACTACCCTAAAAGGGACCCAAATTGGGGTTATGGTACTTGTAAGTCCTTAAAACAACCAGTTACTAACCCCGACCCTCCAAGTAAGCTCTGAGCCCTAAACCCTATAAGCCCTAAGTCCGAAACCCTAAACCCAAAGGAATTTGAGGCCTCACAAACCCTGAAACCCAACTAAACAAACTCTAGTGAACCGCGAAGACCTCGGCTCAGAACCGCGACTCTGCAAGTAACCAGGGAAAAAAAGTACAGATGTTCATCTCATGATCATCATGGTTCCATGAAGAGAAACAGGTACGAACACAGCAAAATCTACCAACTCTTAAGCAAGAAGTACTACGAACAAATCAGTAAAGTATTTTAGGGGCTGAATACCCTAGCCCAGAAGAGGTTAACCTGTTCAAGTATGGTAGGATTGCATAAACCCCACAAGGTTAAAGGTCACCTACCCAGCTTCCAAGGTATGGTACTTCAGAACCTAGAGGGTCTATGTATGTGTGTGTGTGTATGTATGTATATATATATATATATATATATATATATTATACCATCATTATGGCATGAAGCCCTACAAGACCATCCCCATTATGGTTTTGGGTACCCAATTCCATTACAGTAGTGTACAATCGACCCTGTGGCGGAAACCCCAGGAACCCCCCGAGGCTGAAGCTCTCTCGGGTGCAGAGGCCTGCAGTGCAGGTCTTTGGGATCGATTCGCGGTTTGGGGGTTTCGGGGCTTTAAGACTAGGGCTTCGGGTCAAGGGCTCACTGGGTTTAGGGTTTCGGATTGATTTGGTTAGGGATTAGGATTAGGGTTTAGGGAGGGTTTACGATTAGGGTTTAGTGTCTGTCAGGGTTTGGGGAATCGGGTTTGAGGTTAAGGGATTTTGGGCGTAGGTACTCTGAGACTAAACCCTAAAGCCAACACTGGCACCTGCAGCCCCAAACTTTAGAACTCAAGAACGCTTAAGTACCCCAGATTACTGCTGCCCCGAACCAGGAGCAGGCTGGCTCTAACGTTGAAAGACTGACACGCAGTTTTGGGGTTTAGGGTGTAGGTTTGAGGTACCGTGCTAGAGTCAGACTAGGGGCGTCTGCTGCAACTTCTACGCACTAGAAAAGCTTGATAAGAGCGTCTACTACTGTGAAAACTTACTTAGCGACTTAACCTTAAGGCCCTAAGATTCCAGGTACTCTTATAACTTACTATACTGCAGTCTTCGAGTGGCTTCTATGTAGCTACTTTGAGACTAAAGCACCTTAACCTACCAAACCCTACCTTTTTGTGGTTCCTATTATACACCCTAATATGGAACTTGTCGGGACCCTACTTTTTTGTAGGTTTTGGTAGGTTAAGGTATGTTGGATAAGGGGATGGCGTCATGGACTTTTGGGGTAACAATACCCAGAAAAGCACCCCCTTGCCTCGCCGTACTCTGCTTCCGCTTCCGCGACCGCCTCGGCCCACAACCGTCTCTCCACCTGCACGAAGATTCAGCCAGATGAGGCTAGGGTTTAGGGTTTAGGGTTTAGGGGTTTAGGGGTTTAGGGTTTAGGGCGAAGGTTCAGCCAGATGAGGCTAGCGGCTTTGAATATTTTGTCAGACTCATATAATTACAGTGCTTCTGTGCTTACCTGTATTGTAGTTCGTTTGAGGTACCCTAGCCATAAATCAGGCCATTCAAGACAAGTGCTTCCGCCATGAACTCCAAATCTTGAGGAACGAGGTGAGCGCGTGGTTCCATCGCAACTAAGGGCGGAATGCTTAAGCGCTTCGAAGCCAGCCCTTCATGTCTTAACTCAACCACAGACTGCTCAGACTTGCAACCAAGTAGCCTGACAGCAAGCAGCATGTCGATACTGCTCTTAAGGAGCTTAAGGTTTGGAGTTTATGGCATAGGTGCAGATTATGCTGCCTGCACCCCACGCTCTGCACCCCGATAGTTTAACCCCTGAGTGCCAACACCTGCCTTCATCTTGATATATTGTAGGGGCCTTAAAAATTAGAACAGGGTTTTGAGGCCCATAATACAAGATGTATAACAAGGAGCCCCCAAAATTAACAGTAGAGTCAAGTATTTAGGCCCCTGTATTAACTGTCTTTCCTTAGGGCCTTCAGGCCCCGGCCCCTGTGCACGACTTTTGTCGTCTTTCAGGCAGGGGGTATTCATCCGAGGTCTACGTGAAGCAACTACTCAACCCGAACAGCCCTGAAACTGAAGCTGTGAACCCTCCGAACTGGCCTAAAGCGTACTAGGTAACCCAGCGATCGGATCCCTACGGTTTAGGGTTTATAGTTCTCATTAAGTCGGAATCTGACACATAGATGATGAGCCCTAAGGGTCCATGTACCCGAATAGTATATACTCTAGGCCCAATGTACCCAAATTACCTAATATGGGGACTACTTTAAGGCCAACGTATACGCTATTTGGCTACATGGACCCTTAGGGGAATGCTATGATCCGTTCGGCTTTGGGGTTGAGGAGTTGGAGTCTACATGGGAGTTTCCGAAAATAGGGGACCCTAATATAGTACCCTAAATAGTAGGATCCCTATTATAAGGACTCCCAAATAAGGTACCCCTATGGTCGGAAACTCCCACATAGTCCTCTGAGCCGGTATGTTGCCATGGGCCTCTTTTTCGGCTTCTCGCTCGCGCCGATCTGCTGCACGTTGCCGGTGCTCCTGGTGACGTGGGAGGAGAAGACGCTGAGGGTTTAGAGCTTAGGTTTAGGCTCTAGGGTTTCAGTTGAGGGTGGTAGAGTTTAGTTACAGTTTACAGTTTCGGTGGGTTTGGGATTTAGTAGACTCAATGCGCCACATCAAGTCCTTATGAACAGCCTCGTCGCAGCCGAGCAAAGCCTTACAGAGAGATTAAAGAACCCTGCAAAGCGATAGTTCCGCATATCGCTTCCTTGTAAAATCGCAGAACACCAGGAAAGAGCAAAACCATACGTGACATTTAAACTTTAAACTCCCTGTACAACTCTAAACTTCTGTATTGCCAAGTCCTCTCGCGCCACTAAACCCACAGAAACAGCTTTAACAGTCCCCCAGATTCAACAACAAGCCCTCAAATCCGCCAAAACACACCAAAAAAGGCCATGCACACAAAAGTCCTAAACCCGACCTGACCCTGACAAACCCAACTTAAAACCCAGTAATTACATCCCCACAGCGACTCAAATCTCTAGACCCCGAAAACCTGCCCAAGTCCCTAAGCCCTACCCTGAACCCCTAAACACCCTCAACGGACAGGGAGCTCCTCCAACTCGCGCATGCGCACGCGGAATTGTGATCGAGCCTCGTCCCAAACCTCTTTGGGCACCTCCGATTTCTGGGCTTTTGAGGTGTATATGGGAGTTTCCGAAACTGAGGGGTATTAGTATGGGGTCCTTCAAAAGGATCCTAGTATTTCGGGTGCCATTTCTATGCTGCCTTCTTTTCGGAAACTCCCATATTAGGGGTCCAGGCCGGTTCCCTGGCTTCTCCTATATCTTGGCCACTTTGTGTCACGTGCAACTGGGCTCCATCAGAACTTGCAGTTTAGGTTCAAGCTCTTACATTGGGCAGGATTACACTTAGCTTTGGGTGCTTAGGATTTTGGGCTGCAAAAGGGAATTCTGGTTTCTGGTTCGGGCGTTTACTTTATGGGTTCAAGACTTGGTTTATACATATCGTCTATGGCTGAGGATAAGACGAAGACCGTCGCTGTTGGCAACCCTTTCGTTCGGTGGTCAGGTTCAGGGCCGGTTCTTTGAATGCAAATGGGTGGTTGTCAAAATTATGGTCCCTTTTTGGGTACCCTAAATATCAGGTGCCGTATTCTAATATGGACCCCAAAAGGGACCATAATTTTGACAATAATCCATACGGCATACGGCCACACCAGTTGGCTCCGAGCTCGTTGCACGGCCTTTGCGAGGACACAAGGGTCGGTTTGGCAGCCCTGAACCCTACAAACCCTACTTAAAGGATCATGGGACTTAGTAAGTAGGGTTATAAGTAGGTTATGATTAGGATAACCCCACTTACACTTAGGGGACTTATAACCCAGTTATAACCTACTTACTAAGTCCCATGATCCTCTAAGTAGTCCGGAACTCAAGATGCGCGAGCCTCCGGCAAAGGCCCTTCCTCTCGTCTCTTGAAGGACGCGTAGGTGTATTCCTTCAGCTCGAGGTTTTGAGTCTCTTCGGAGTATAGATGACACAGCATTCGTACACTACTGTAGGACTAGGCAGGGTTTCGGGCTTTATGGGGTTTAGGGTTTAATTTAGGGCTTAGCATGATTGCTGTCGTCACGGCCTGAACTAATTTCGGTACTTCAAGCATTGCATCTTTTGTGCTTGACTCGGCTTGAACGAACTTCGCCGAAGGGCTCGGGCAAGGATTAGCCTGGCTTAGAAAGCCTGATTTTCGCCTTCGCTAGGAAGCGGATGAAGGTTCGGGCTTCGGTCGGTGTAATATAGGGGCCTGAATAATTCGAATAGGGTTTTGGGTTTTATTATACCAGATTAGACTGATGAACCCCCAAGCATAGTACGTGTTGGAAATGATTAAGGCCCCTGTATCAGGCTGATGTGTTGGGCTTGGGGAGGCTCCAGGTTCTACGAGCGGGGTTGAGTCGCGTTTACGGGCTGGAGAAGGGTTCAGGGTTAAAGGGGTTTGGATTCCAGGGTTTCTAGATTGACGGGGGCTGATGTTCTGAAGGGCTGACCTTGAGTTTGGACTTCAATGTCAGAATTCGTGCAACTTTCATTTCGGAGTCTGGGATCTTAAACACAGGGCTTCAAAGCTGCAACAACTGTAGACTCTAGACAACTTGGTGAAATGTTTGAACAGTCGCGAACCTTTGGGTTCGATCGTTCGGCCGGTAGCTGAGATATGGTTCGAAATTGACCGACAGAATCGTCCACAGTGGATCACCCCAAAGCATATTAACTCCCTGAGCCCACACTTCTTGAACACAGAAGAATGGGAGTTTCCGAGAAGTAGGGGTTGCCTTAATTTGGGGCCCTCATTATAAGGATCCTACTAAAGGGCACACTATTAGGGTTCCCTAATGTATGAACCTGTGAGGTCTTTCCCCTCACGCCGACAAACTAGCAAGGCTGAATTGTACTGAAGTTGTTAGCTTGGGGAAACCCGACTAAGAGATACGAAAGGCCGTAGACAAAGAACCCTCAACCCTAAACCTAAACCCCTTATACCCCGAACCTAAGAGCCCTAAACCCTCTGCACCTAAGGGCCGTAAACCCGAACCCTCTGGACCAATTATCTCTAGAGAAGGGGCTTTAATAATTCCTATGATGCTGTTTTGGTGGGTTCCTGATGATAATTATGGTAAAAAATACCCCAAATCCCCATCAAACCAATTTAAAGGCCCCTATATCACAGAGCCCTTACCTCCTTTCAACCCTTTAAGGGAACCCTAGTCTAACTACTGAAGCCCCTAAATTAGAGTTGCTTCACTGGGCACAGGGCTGGCTCCGGTTCCTTGCTCGGGCCAAACCTGAGCACTGATGGCTGGCGACGGTAATCAGGGTTTTGGGTTTTAGAGTTTCAGGTTCAGGATTTAGGGGTTTAGGGTTTTGGGTTTTAGAGTTTCAGGTTCAGGGTTTGGGGTGCTTCTAAAGACTGCAATACCCTTCATTTTCTAACGGTCTGCTTAGGGTTCCTGCAAAAGGTTCCTTTAAGGGCTAGGGTGTAAGTTTAGGGGTCCGTTATAAGGGTTCTATCTCTATCTCTTGATCCTTCTAACCATGGTAAGAATATTTATTCATCAGACTAACCATATATAGTAATGGATGGAAAGCTAGTAGTGAACAATAAGAAAGGAATTCTAATTCAGCAGTGAATAAATGTTTGGTAATGATACTAGTAATAGAGGGTTCTAGGTTCCTGGTGGGACAAAGTGTCTGTAGAGCGTTAAGTAATTACCCGGGCTCGCAGTAGAGGGCTTTTCTCATACCCTCAGGGTCCAACTGTTGATGATATAAATCCTGCATTACCTTAAGGACCCTAAACTATGGGAATTATGTTCTATTCCTTATTATGGGTAATGCAGGATTTATATCATCAACAGAAGTAGTCCGTATTCATGGTTTTTGGTACCTCGAAAAGCCTTACAGTCCTCTGATAGGGAGTACTTGGGCCCTCTGGGATGGGCTTCCGGACAAGCTTTGCACTCTGAAACACACAACCACTGAAACACGCAACCACAGAGGCGGCAGTCTTGTGGGAAAAAGTCTACAACGGTGGCTTTCGGTTTTGCGGACGATTCATAGGATTAAAGGCTTGGAGAAGGGGGGTTACGGTGTCGATCGCGTTCAGCACTTGTAGGGGTTTTAGGAGTTCGGGCACTTTCGGTTTGCAAGGCATCAACACGCCACTCTGTGGACGGAATGCGGCATGTCAAACGGCATCCCAAAAGATAGAGCAGTTTTTGATACTGCCTGCGCACAAGAGTAGAATGGACGTCATTTCCAAAACTAACCCCAAACCCTCAATCTTGATCCTTTACAGCCTGTAAATGTCGCTTAACCATCTCAAGACGTCCTAGAACCTGTGTGAAGTCCTGCACTACACTTAACTCCTACCGAACATATAGGCCCAGGCTTTGACACCGCGGCGACAGCTGATACTCCCAGAAGCAGCACGCAGGCCTCGTACGGAGTTATAGAGATGACAGTTACGGTTTAGGGGTTAGGATTTAAGGATATGGTCCAATGGTGTTACAGCTGTTTTCCCAGAGAGGCTTAGAGGGCTTCACAGAGGTTTCCACGGACTCATAAGGCTTTTCAAAGCTTTGATGCGGGGTCTGCTCATGGTTAGACTACGCCCACTATTACAAGAATGTTAAAAGCAGAAACCTTGTTATGAACTCCACACATTACCTTGACAAACCCCAAAATACGGCTTTCCTGTCCTGGACCCCGTGAACCTACATGTTTCAACTTGGGCTCTGTGACTTCTGTTGTGGGTTTAGGGTTTACGGCCAGGTTTGAGGATTGGGGTTGAGGGCTTCTGGTCTATTGTTTAGGGTTTTTTGGCGCAGATGATTTGATACGAAAGCTGAGGCTCACGCACCAAAACAAGCAATATTTAAGGTCCTCAAAACGCAAGAGCTACATACAAAACCCTGCGATCCTTCTGCCGTTACCTACAAAAAGCTGACTCAAATGTTGAAGCATCGACCGAAAAGCAATTACAAAGACCATGTTCACACCACAGCAACCCAGCAGCAGCAACATCCGAACTCCTGGGACCTCGGACACGCCGCAAACTCGAAGAACCAACGCCTCAAAGCACCAGCAAAACCCACAGAAGGCCCTGAAGAACTCGCTCCAAACATGTCGAAGCCCCTGTGCCGGCCCCTGAACCGTAAACCCTAAACAACCCTAATCTTTACACACCCTCCGACTTGGTGCCGTGCACTACTTTTCAAGATCTTCCACCGAGAGCTTGGACCTCATCACGTCCGTCTCATGCCCTCGTCTCTTCATGTACAATACGGGGTGGGTAATGATTAGCATAGGGTTTCGGGGTACCTTATGCCATACTTACAATAAGGAACTCCCCAAATAGTACAGGCAATTATTTAGGCTTCTACATTAACTGATTGGATCGCTTGCCTCCGTTCTACAATCTCATCGCATGACCTTGCCTGACTGCATGTACATGTATGTATTTGTCTCTTTCTGAAAAAAATTAAGGGCAAAAAAACTACATAAACTAATAAACGTTGGTTTCGGGACGAATCGGCAAGACATCAACACAGAAACCAACAAGTGAAGGTAACAACGGCACCGGGTGTGCAGTGTGCACAGGTCGAAGGCAAGGTTACAGGCAAGAACTGAATCCATGTTTTGCATACAGTTACCGTCATGGTTAAATCACCTCCCACCAGCTCTGTTGTAACACTCGATGGAAAGACCTAGTGCTGAACACGCTGTTGAGATTCACCGGGGATGCCGGGAAATTTCCGTCCGGAGAGATCAGCGCCTAAGAAAATTTATGTGCCTGCAAAAACAAGGCAAAGTACTCTTCCCACAAAAAAGTATCAAACTTTTTTGCTCGGGACGCGCGGGCTTCGTGCGGGGATGTCCGCGGGCTTGGAGAAGTTTATGTGGGTCGCCAAAATACGGCAAATACCACTTGTACATAATGGAAGCACATGCGCCGACTGTATATGCAGCGAGAAGGCCGGTCTGTTACAACCTCGCCTCGCGAGTGGAATATGCTACTATGCCCAAGCTGCTGCGATCTATCCGTTCCCTCACAGCACTGGACCTGGTAAACTGGCAGGGGACTGCCTTCTCGCTGCCTGTCCCTACTATGTCGACCGATTACCGAAAGTTTATGTTTATGTGCTTTTTCTGCTCGTGATAAAAATCATATGTATGCGCAATTATTCACATCATGCCTCATAGATACATCATATATATATATACATATATATATATATATATATACATATTAAAACATACAAGCAGACAGACCGACGACACACAGACAGACAGACGGAAGATAGACACACATACACACGCAGATATACGGACAGACAGACAGACAGACAGACAGACAGACAGACAGACAGACAGACAAACATGCCCGTACACATATGTACATACATGAACATGTGTTCTATGTGCGCAACCCTAAGCAAAGCTCTAGAAAGCCTTCTGGAACTCTTACAGAGCGATTTGTAAAGTCACACGGCTACACAAACCCTAAACCCGTGTCGAGCTTTGGTTTCGGGGTGAACCGCGCGCTGCCCAAAGCTACAGATGAGAAGATGCAAAGCATCTGACAGAACAACGGGCTCTGTAGAGTTTTCATATGGTGTTGCAGGTCGTGCATTCTAGGAGCAAATAAGTGTGTATGCAAACGCTTATGTTTATCCAGCAGAGCAAAACGGTCTGCGCATGGTTGCTGTGAGGTTCCTTAAATAAAGGGATGTCCAAGGGATGGATTAAACTATTATAGGGCTCGATAAGGGCTCAAATTACGGTGAGGGTGCTAATTCATCGGCTTTTGCAGCTCCTTTGAATCAGGGCTGTACGCCATCCACATCATCTCAACCTCTGCTGGACAAGAATCAACCCGTTGTCCTCGAATTCGCTTGGAGCAAATCCCGAACTCTCGCCTCCAAACTTGGGAACTGAAGGCAAGTTTTGCGTTTCGGGGTTTAGGGTTTAGGGACCCTAAACCCTAAACCCCAACTTGGAACTGAAGGCAAAACTGCTTGGGTCCAATTTAAAACTCCGAATTTTTTGACGGGCAAACCTGGTGAAACAGCATGAAATCCCAACCCCGACATCCCCTGCAAAATCCGAAGCCGACGGCACAGCTGCAATGCTCTTGAGCCCTGAATGCCTGAAACCTAAGCACTAGCATTACCCATGAGCCCTGAGCCCAAAGCCCTATACCCGCTCCGCACCTTGGATGCTCTGCACGTCTGAATCAGTTTCTGATTCTGCCATGGCCTTCGGAACAAGAGTCGGAGTTGCAGGGCTTTCCTGTAGGCCTAAGGCCTACTTTGTCAAGGACATTTGTTGGGAAAGGGGGTGGAATCAACACTTCATGGGGTTTTGCAAGTGATATACCGGGCTCCCGTGCGGTGCAGGGGCATACAGGCTGTGCTCGGTTGTCCTGGCAGTCTGGAGCAAAGTCTTCCCAAGTACATCTGATACAAGCCGAACTCCGAATTAGGGTTCCTTTTTGGGTAGCCTAAATATTCGGTGCGGTATTAAAATAATACGGACCCAAACAGGGACCCTCATAGTGACAGCCACCCATATTGTGCTTGATCCTGTTTATGGCAGCACCAGCTTCGGATCGACGTGTGCCAGGCCGCGACGGAGAGATCGATGGCATCGTCGCTGGCATCGTCGCTCCACCGCACGGAGCAACCTTTCCGGCCTAGAGATCGGCTGTGGCAAAACTTTATCCACGAGTTGATATACAGTGTTAATACTATATGACCAAAAGTTTAGGGGTTCCTCTTCCTTGAACCGCATAATAGGCTTGTTGTGATGCTATAGCCTAGAAACCTACTAATCCAAGCCCCTGGACAAATCTGACATGTTCCTTAAGGTCCTTGAGGTTTACTCTTCTGCAATATGCTACCATATTCTAACTATGCGAAAATATGCCAGGACACCCCGTTTTGACTACTAGTTAGGCCCCTATACCAAGTGACTGGGAACTTAGCCCCATTTATGAAAAAGTGACTGGGGACTTAGCCCCATTTATGAAAACAAAACAAATCCTTATGGCACGAGGAACCGTTGACAGGAATCCTAAAACCTCAGTCTGGCTAGGAACTGATAAAAACGCAAAGGCCTTGACACCTGTACCTTCAATCCTACACTGAAATGCATCCTACGTCTTTCACCCTAAATCCCAAAACTCTAAAACCCAAATCCTAAATCATATAAAAACCCTAAATTCCATAATCCGAAGCCCTAAACCCTAAATCCCTAAACCTCAGCGCCCTCAAAAACTCAATGCCGGCCTCTCTGGGGCTTCGGACGTGCTTCGCCCGAACGACTACCGTGCTTGGTTCGAGCCAGGATGAGATTTGCAGACAACTGTTAAGGGTTCCTTTCAGGGTCCCTTTACTTAAGGGATCTATAATGGTTTAGTAAGTTAGGGGTATAAGGGTCCAGACAAGCATCAGGGTCCACGTGTGCAAAGATTCCTTTAGGGGTCCCGTTCCAGGACACCATTAGGGTTCCACATAAGGGTACTATAGGGTTTAGGGTATGAGGGCCCATGTTCTCAGAGAGTATATACTATGGCCCTGCAGTGCCCATATAGTGAGGCACTTTAAGGCCTGAGGTATACTCTAATATGAGCATGGAAACTTCGCGTAAGAGCTACGGGTCGAGGGGTAATGGGTTCAGAGTCTGGCGTTAGGAGCACAGGGTTTTACGTCTGGCTTGATTAGGATGGACAGAGGTAACTTCACCTAAGAGGGTCGAGCATGGTCCGTTTTGCTATCTATACCCGAAACCCAAAAACCCTTAGCTGAAATCTGGGGATTAAGGTGTAAGCTTGAAGCTTTCGGGTGGGCATCTTGGGGTGGAACTTCTTGGATCAAGGACTTTTGAGGCTGGTTTTGGGTAAAGAGCGTTTAGGGCTGTTACAGGGTTTAGGGTTTTGGGATTCAGGTTGCAACTTTGAGCTTGGCAGACGGGGTTCAGGTGTAGGTGTTCGGGTTAATACCACGCCACAACTAAGCCCTGTGCAAGGAATGTCCAAGACCGGGGCTCTAGACTGTGGTTTCCGAATCCGGTCTTGGGAAAGCCCTGGTCACATGAGAAGTAGCGGCATAGGATTCAGCACCAAAGATTAGAGTTTGCAGCAGATCTCGAAGCTGACATCCGGTTCAGAATTTGGGGCATCCCAAAACTTGCAAAACCTGTGGAGACCTGTTACTGCTAAGCCTTTGTGAAGCCCCAAAAGACCCCGTGCTGGGTGTCTTTCGGCTGCTCAAAGCACTGACCCGCAAAGCCGTGTAAAAGTCGGTTGGCTTGTGAAGGCTCCATTGCACAGTCGTCTCTCTCACGCGCTCGCGCTCTCTCTCTCTCTCTCTCTCTCTCTCTCGCTCTCCCTCTGTCTCTCTGCCCATACAGATACATAAATCCGCATATACATACAGACAGACAGCCAGGCAAGCAGCCTGACAGACGTAGATGCATGGATAGATACATGGTTGTGCACGCAGGTGCGTATGTATGTGTATATTTAGGGCTTTAGGGGTTTAGGGAGACACGGTTTCAAACCGTACCGATCTTTACTGTGCCTTGGTCGCGTCAAATTGGCCAATGGGTCATTGGTTCCAACATTGCGTGTGAGCTTGCGGCTGAGACCATGTCGGTCCCTACACGCCCCATCGCCCCTGTGCCTCTGCGATCACGCTTGCTTTCCTTCTGCTGTTGTCGGAGCCGCGTGCAGAAGCACAATCAAAGCGCAGGTGATGCACTGATGGGCCTCATGGTTGTTGTTCTTGCCTGGCTGAGAGCCGTTGCCATGCCTGCACGCCGTAGGGTTGCGGTGTATGTCAAGCAGCTGAGGCGCTCCCTTCAAAAACAGCCGGTCATCGTGCAACAGGACAAATGCCCTGCCGCTGCTGTTGGCATGAGCCGTGCTGTTTATGATGGCCTTCTTTATCAGAACTTCTTCTGTGACAGTGCTCATTATGAGCTTGTTGAAACGGGCCTTGAGCATGTGTGCCATGATCAGTACCTCTCGCACAAGGCGTTGATCCCAAGTTGGGCTCACCGTCGCAGAACTAGTTGGCATCCTGAGGCTTTGCCTTATGCGTATCTTAATGTCAAGCGCAAATGCTTCAGCCCTGCGGGGTTAGTGTGCACAAAACTTCATGCGCACGTCCGTGAGATTGTGGCTAGTTGCAACTTCCCCCTCAATAGACTCTTCAAGCTTTGCAGCCGTGCTGTTCAGTGCATCCTCAAAAACAGCACTTTGCCAAGTTGGGAAGTTTGGGACATGAAAACTTCTTCGACTGATCTTGCTCAGCGAGCACGTTCCTTGGACAGACCGCGTGAATTTCGATCGGTTTGCAAACGCTGTGGATGCCGGAAAGCCCCTATGTCCTGTTTCCAAGGAGATGTCAATCAACTTTTCAAGGATGTTGAAGCACACCATGTTTTGCGTCACTTAAGGCAGCATGTCGATGCTTGTCAGAAGGCACATCCTGATTGTGAAGGTGTCACGGTGTTGAATGGCAAGAAATACAGAGCCTTTATTGGGGGTCAGGAACGTACTGCACGTGGTCGGTACTTCAGGTTTTGGGAAGTTTGGTGTGTCTTGAAGTATTACCTGCGCTGCAACGTGTTCAGAGTGGGTGTACATCTGGTCCGTCAGCGACTAGGCGTCCCCATGGGTGGAAGTGGTTCCAAAGCTTGCACCTCCATCCTGCTTGGTGGCTTGGAAGCTGCCTGGGTCCGGGACGGCGCCCAAAGAGCTGAACATGGCTTCGAAGATTCCCCGCAGGCGTTTCAGGCCACCACAAACGGTGCACGATACGTCGATGACCTGCTTGTTCTCAGCACTGTGTATTGCCCTCGTTGCTGTGAGGCCATGTGCATGCTGATCTATGACAAGCCGTTAGTTATCGAAGCACAGCCGCCTGTTCACGTTTTTCAAGCGCAGTTGCCGCAAGAGGTTTGGCAAACATGCGTACACCATTGGCTTGACTTGACCGTCACTGTAGGTGAGACTGTCCGCGTGTCCTACCGCAGTAAGAATGAACAGTGCTTGCACTCAGGAGGGCAAATCAACCATCATGTTTTGCCGCGCTTTTGTCAGCAAGATGGTGCCACCAGGGAGCGCTTGAAATGGTGGATGTCCTCACGGGCTCACCGCATTGGTCAAATTGTGCCAGACCCTGACAGTTTTGTGCTTGTGTTGCGTGAGGCCATGCTTTTCGGATATTCTCGTCAGCATGTGTTGCGAGTGGCTAGTACGCTTCGCAAGTTCGAGTTTGTCAGAGAAGCGCTACGCATTGTGACGTCCACTGATTGCTTGAAGCTGCACTCGAGGGATTAACGCAGTCCTTTGTTTGCCCAAAGTGGTGCCCGCTGCCCTACTTTGCCCCTTGACTCCTGCTTGGTGTGACATGTTTGGGTGGTTCTTCGGCCGTAGAACCAACAACTTCAAAGGTCCGCCCCTATGGACGCGGGTGGAGAAATTGGAGGAGCAAGTAGCCAAGCTGCAGCAGCAAGAGGAAAAGCGGGTCCAAGCAGCAGCGGACGTTCGTGAAGAAGCCAAGCTCAATGCCAAGATTGCCGAAGCGAAGCTTGAGTTGCAGAGAGAGCTTGCTCAGGCTGATCCTTGGATGCTTGCGAAAACAACCAACGGTAAACGCAGTGCTCCGGAAGCAGAGGAGGTCAGTGTTAAGCGGCTGCGAGTGCTCAACTGTGCTGATTTCAGGAACTTCTGGGAAGAGGTGGGCATCAAAGGCAGAAACATCCCCAAGGGCACATGGAATGCGCAGAGTCTCAGTGCCGAGATCACCGGGCGTGGCGATTTTCAAGTTTCCAAGTGGCGCAGTGCTGCTGGGCGCATCCTCGATGGACCTATCCCCAAGGATTCGCAGGCTTTGGTTCTCCAAACTTTGGAGGCCGTAGCCAACTGAGCTGCTGATGCGCCTTTAGAGTTACTGAGTCGTGCTGGTCACAGAGCGTGGGGTGAAGGCAAATGGTGCGTCAGCTGTACGGCTTTCTGCCTGCTGCACTTCTGCAGATGCTTTGTGGCATGGTTGGCTTGGTCGGGATCCTTTTTGGTGGCTGCACTCCTGGGTTTCGGATGGGCAGTTCTTTGCCTTCAGAGACCGCATATCACTTGTGCCCAAGCATCGCCTAGTGACATGACTTGGTTTGAGGCCATGCGCTTCTACCTTGGAGTGGCTGAGAGTGATGCACGCAACTGGTGGGTTCACGCATCTAAGTTGGCCCAGGCTTGTTGGTTTCTGCTGTCCGAGGGTGGCTACATCTTCACTGCACCAATCATCTTTGCCTACGTCTCCCGATGGGCTGGCTTTGTCAAGTGCGGAATGCACCTCGCTGGTGGCAGAAGGCGATACCGGCGTTAGCTGATGTGGCAATTTGTTCATATTGTGACCTCGCTGCAGTTGCGAGTGAGTTTTGAACCAGAGATCTCATTCAGCTTCGTACAGTCCATGACTGGGATGTGCAGTCCTTTTCGCATGCTCGTGGGAGGGGCGTTGAACCAGGAGGTTCTGTCTCTGCAAGTCCCCACGAGTATGACTCATGCTACGTGTACACTTGTTTAATTCGGTTGCGAAGTGTTGTGATTGCTCTTGAAAGCCATTTGTACCCACTCGAGAGCTCTTGTGGCCCCACCTTATCCCGCCAGTGATGGTTCGTCGCAGTTGAGGGGCGAAACGACCAGTACACCACTGTGCATATTGTGGAGAGGCAGCTGCCTGATGATGGGTGCAAAAGGCTTCTGGTGAAAGCTTTTGCCTGTGCACAACTAGTGTTTTGTTGTTTAGTCTTTTGTTTTGGTTTTGTTTTGTAGGGGTGGTGGGTGTGCTAGCGATACTAAACTAATCTTTTCTCCAGCAACTCCGCGTGCTGTGACTTGGCAGTCTTTCTGCCGAATACGTTGTAAATCATAGGATTCAGCACCAAAGATTAGAGTTTGCAGCAGATCTCGAAGCTGACATCCGGTTCAGAGTTTGGGGCATCCCAAAACTTGCAAAACCTGTGGAGACCTGTTACTGCTAAGCCTTTGTGAAGCCCCAAAAGACCCCGTGCTGGGTGTCTTTCGGCTGCTCAAAGCACTGACCCGCAAAGCCGTGTAAAAGTCGGTTGGCTTGTGAAGGCTCCATTGCACAGTCGTCTCTCTCACGCGCTCGCGCTCTCTCTCTCTCTCTCTCTCTCTCTCTCTCTCTCTCTCTCTCTCGCTCTCCCTCTGTCTCTCTGCCCATACAGATACATAAATCCGCATATACATACAGACAGACAGCCAGGCAAGCAGCCTGACAGACGTAGATGCATGGATAGATACATGGTTGTGCACGCAGGTGCGTATGTATGTGTATATTTAGGGCTTTAGGGGTTTAGGGAGACACGGTTTCAAACCGTACCGATCTTTTCCGTCAGGTGCTGCCAAACGATCTCGGGATCTTAGGCTCGGCACAAGCACGCGCAAGCCTGGTTGCATGCAGCCATTTGCGTAGCTCAAGAGGTCAAGCTCCAGCGGCGAGTTTAGGGCTTATAACTACCTGGACCCGAAAGAACCTACCTTTTTAGGGCCCCCTAATTATTTAATATGATTTCTTTATATAAGTCCATAAAAAGGAGGTTATTTGGGGTTAAGCTAAGGCCTAAGTATTACTGACTACGGCTTCTACTTTTGGGCCCTACGGGGGTGACTTCGCTCGGGACAAACGTTGCTGACAATATCCTGACATTCTGCACATAGCTCTTGCCCAACCCGGCCCGTCACATCTGAAAACATCCTGCATAACATCATGCTCTTTACTCCCTCCTTGCTATGACTTGGGGTGCTCCTGTTCAAGCCTTCAAGGCCAGTATTTCGAAACCCTAAACCATATACCCCAAACCTTAAGACCCGAAACCGCAAACCCTAAACCCTAGAATCCAAACCCTAAGCCCTAAAACCCTAAACCCCAAAGCCCTAAACCCGAAAACCCTCAACCCCAAAGCCCTAAACCCTAGAACCCCAGAGCCCTAAACCCTGAACCTTACGAAGCGAAACCGTAAACCCGAAACCCTAAAACCCTGAACTGACAAAGCTCAAATTCAGGAGTAATAACAACCCCTAAGGCTCCGTATACACTTAAGGCCCCAAAGTACCTATATAGGAACCCCTTTAAGGCCTAAGCATATACATGGAGCCTTTAACAACTCAACCAGGCCCTGAGTTAGGATTCAGCTTGACGCCATAGAATCTACCCCTTCTGAAAAAGGGTTTAGGGTTTGAAGTTTAGGGTTTAGGGCTTGGGCATAAAGGAGCCTATACCCTTTTAAAAGAAGGGTCTAGGGTTTAGGGTAAAAGGAACCTATACCGGTGGAAAGAAGGGTTTAGGGTTTTGGGGTACATGTTTCCTCGAAGCTCGAGCCGAAACCCACGTGGGTGGTTGTGAAAATTAGGGTCCCTTTTTGGGTACCCTAAATCATAGGTGCCGTGTTATAATAGGGACCCAAAAAGGGACCATAATTTGGCAACCACCCACATACCAGCACGCTAAACCCTAAACCTTAAAACCTAAACTCCCTAAAACCCAAAACTCGGCGTTTCGTGTTTACCGGTTTTCGCTCCGAGTGTGCTCATAGGTTTCAACAGCATCACGCCGAGACAGCTGAAACGTTTATGCCCAACTTTCCAAACTAGAAGCCCTCAATCCTAAATCCTACTACAGCCTACAAGTACTGGTAGATCCTAGACACTACTAAGCCTAAACCCAAACCCTGCTAAAACCCAAACCCTAAACCCAACCAAAACTTAAACTCACCGGATGTACTTAGCTTACTTAGTCACGAACCTTCTGCATTATGACACCCCAAAGATGCTCTCATCAACTTCCAACAGCAGCCCTATCTACACTCAGCCAAGTCGGTAATGTAACCACGCCCTTTACCTCCCCCCGACCCGGTTGCAGGAGCGTTGAAGGGGAGTTCACCGACGACCTCTTGTCTTCCCACCGAAAGTCCGAAGGCACAAGAATGCGTGTACCAAAAGCCAGCAGCATGGAAGTGCTCTCGTCCTTGGGGTTTCGGGTTCAGCCATGAAGGCTTTATTAGGGTTTAGGGTTCAGGGTTTAGGGTTTAGGGTTTAGGGTTTAGGGTTTAGGGTTTAGGGTTTAGGGTTTAGGGTTTAGGGTTTAGCGATGAAGGCTTTGGTATTCTACTGTCTATTGCTAGTCCCAAGACTGCAGTTCTCTTGCTCCTGTAGAGGCTTGTAGAATTACGAGGAGAATTGCCGCAGGTATCCCAACTGCCGCTGCTACTGCGCTTCCGGACACCCAAAAACCCGAGATCAAAGGACGAGACTTGCGGAGACAGGGCTGAAGAGAGTGCTGCTCTGTGTCGAGTCGAGTCTGCAGACCCCTTTGGAACATTTCGAAGGGTGTAAACTTCGAACTGTTTAGGGTTTAGGTTGTCGAAACACTTCGCAGGGTTTTAACAGTGTTCGTATGAAGCTCTGTGGTATGTGCAGATTGGGCTCAACACAGGAGCCTTAATAATTAGAATATGCAACTCACAAAAAATTGTTGCTAGGTATTCAGGCTTGTACATAATGGCCCTATATAGCGTACAGAACCCGAAACATTAAGGTCCTTAATTAGTCTGCAGGTAAAACCGCAACCCTAAACCGATTGGGTTTTGGACCCGAGGCTCCTCAGCCCTAAACCCCTAAACACCCTAAAAACCCTTAAACCTTGAACTGTGACATAAACCCTAGACCCGTAAACCCCTAAACCAACCCTAAACCCCTAAACTCTTAAACCCTAAACCCCAAAAACCTCTAAAACCCCTAAACCCATAAGGCGTAAGCTTCGGACTTCTCTCGGGGAAGGCTGGTCCTGTACGGGCCTGGTCTGCAGCAAACGGACTGCGGCCTCCGATAGAAGTTCCTGGGTCTTACCTAAACTCCTAAAACTCCAAAAGTAGCTAAACAAAAGGCCCACCACCTGTATAATAGAAGGCTGTTGATCCACGTACTGTTGTGGTCCAGGTCACGCTTGTTCTAAAGTTTATAGGGTTTAGGGCTAAGCGTTCCGCTGGACCTTAGCACATCGGCACATCGGAGGGAGGTCTGCTTGAGGGGAAGGGGGGTTCAGGGTGTATGTGTTCCACTTCCTGTTACACCATAGCTAATTAGTCAACATTACCCAGGGGGTCCATATATACTATATACTACCAGTTACTACCATTGTGGAAACGCTTTCCCAAAGACCATCCTTGATATGGTTTTGGGGACCCAATTCGTAAATATGCGGACCTAAGCCCTAGATCGAGAAGTCGAACACCTAACGAAACCTGAAAGGAGCCCTA